TAAAAGAATACTACCAGAAAGAAAATAGGTTTCAATTAAGCATGCAAAGGTCCATCCACTCTCTTTAGTTGGGAGATTGTTATTTAATTCTTTCCCTTTCCCTTTTTGTATGAAAAATATTAAGTACTAATGCTGAACGTCAGTTTGAAGCTTTGTCATATATAAAAACACAAGTGCAAGGTCTTGAGTTCACTCCCCAGTACCAAAAAAGGAAAAATAATAATAATAATAATACAGTGAACTTCTACCTGGGTGGTTCTCAAAGTGTGAACAGTGGGACCCTGCTAGCCTAGAATCTTTTGTTTATTGAGGGGTTTGTTTGATTGGATCGTTTTATTTGGTTTTGAATTTTGGGAGCCTGGGACTTCCTATGTAGCTCAGGCTGCTTCAAATTCCCAGTCTTCCTGCCTCAGCCTCTCAAGCACTGGAATTATATATCTAATACCACCTTGCCTGAAACCCAGACATTTTTAAGGTCCCTACAGTGTCAAAAAGTTGAGTGCTTTCTTTTACCTTTTGCCTTTGCATTAATCAAGCTAGAAGCAACAGATGATACTTAAGGGATTATATTCCTGGGTAGATGCTCCCATTTATTAAAAGTGTGTTTTTTCTAGGTTTTGTGGCCCATGCCTGTAATCCCAGCACTTTGAAGGCCAAGGCAGGAGGATTGCCATGAGTTTGAGGCCAGCCTGAACTCCATAGCAAGACCCTGTCTCAAGAAAAATAAACCAAAAAACAACAACAAACAAATAAAAAAGCAAGCCCCCTAATCACTCTTCAGTGAGTTGGCATGAAATATTTTTTTTGAGTGAATTTCACTTAATGACCTTGTTGAAGCAGTACAAATTATTTTAGTAACTGTTAAAACACCATGATGAAATAGGAAAAATACACAGAACAGTTCTGTTGCATTCAAAAACACAATGATGTCTCAAGGGAAAGCCTTGTATGATGTTTGAATTGAAAGTTGAATTACCTACTTTATTATGTTAGACTACTCTTATTTACCCAACAGCAAAAATAAAAATGAGAAAGCACTTAAGCAAGACACAAAGACAGACTTCCAGTTCACCAATGGCAAACAGTAGGGCAAAGGAAGATGAAAAGTCTGATAGTGAACCTCCAGGACACCCAGAACCCATAGCACGGGAAGTAACAAAACAGATCAATCAGGCTTTAGAAAAATTCAAAACAGAAATAATTTCGCTGCTAACCATAGAGATGGTGAGCAAAATGAAAGTCATGATTTGAGACTCTAGACCAGAAACTGACAAAAAAATAGATGAGCCTCAGGACCATGATAGAAGCCACGAAGGCCCAGAATAAGAAAGAAATGGAAACAATGAATGCCCAACATAAGAAAAGAAATGGAATCCATTAAACAGATTCAAACAGATATCCAGGAGAGTAGAAACTCTATAAACTATTCTTATTTGAATACAACAGTTGAAGTTCAGACCTGTGCTTGTGACTTATTATGAATCAAGTGGCTCTGAGTTTCCAGGAAAATAGCGAAGATTTGTTACTAATTGTTATGAGTTGTGTCTAGATGCACCCCCCCTCCCCCCAGCCTGCAAAGCCTTATGTGGTCATAGGTGAGGCTTTTTTCAGAAGTGGCTGAATTTAGAGTGTGTGAGGTTGGGATTGAGTGTATGTAATTATTAAATCTGTGGTTATTAAATCAGTCCACTGATTGGTTTGGCACCACCCTAAACCTGATAGCCTAGATAGAGTATAAAAGGGGCAGAAAGAAGCTGCTAAGGTCCCTTCCTTGCTTTTGCTGTCTTCTGCCTGCTATGAACTCTTTCTCCACTGCGATGCCTGTCTACCAAGCCCACACATCCTTGGAGCCAGACTGAGACCTCTACAAACTGGGAGCTAAATAACCTTTGGGTGTCAGGTATTTTGTCTCAGCAGTGAGAGAGAAGTATCTAAGACAATGACAAAGTTCTGATTTTCAAATGATAATTAGAATGTTGGAGAATTTGTATCCTTCCCATAAACTTGACAGTTTCCCAGTACTTAAAAATTCTCTGATAATGGTGTGGTGATATTAATGATCATGATTTTTTTTTCTATTTTGTAATGAAATCTATCAATACTTAAAACATCCCATAAATCAGTGACCCATTATTTTCCAGGTTACCAATACATGATGTTATAAAATCAGGTGTGGGAAACAAACACCTTGAGAATTTAAGAGAGACTAAAAGGTTTTATTATAGAATTTGAAAGTTTGTAACTTCATCAAAATTCAATATACTCTTAAAAAATGAATATCCACAATGACATGAAAAGCTATTAAGATACATTTTTAACTAGATATCTTTGTTTAGTATGTTTTCCACCCAAACAACATATTACAATATCTTGAATGTAGGCACTAAGCTGATATCCAAATGTCTTTACATTGAGCCAGCATTAAGGAAATTCAAAAATATGTAAAACAGTGCCATTATTCTCACTAATTTTTGTGTTTGGAAAATATGTTTTCCTAATAATATATTAACATGGAATGAGTTCTTTTTTTAATGAATTAATGTGTATTTAAAAAATTTCTTGGCTTTAGTTTCTAACGTGAAATTATTCATGGTTATAACAGCATCAACACTTTAGTGTTCTCACTGTGTGTAGAGTATGAAGGAATCCTGAGATCAAAGAGTTTGGGAACCATTGCTCTACATTGGTGTACTTTCTTCTTGAAACTGTTTCTGCTTAAATTGATAAGCCCAATTCCCTCCAGGATATAAAGAAATATATGAAAGGGATAGTAATCAAATCTACCAAAAACAGTTGACTGTAGCACAAGAAGCTAATTTTCACTGTTCCTGACCCTAATTAGGACCACCCTGAATCTGAGTTGAATGAGCACTGCTTACCTGCATTCACCCATGACCTATGTTGACTAATTCTGCAAGCAGTTACTCAAGTCCTGTTGTTTTCTGGGCCCTGAAAAGAATGATGAAGATGCAAAATAGAATAAGACAGTAGCTTCTGAAGCAGAATTTGAAAGTTAGGATGAATTAGTACCTGTCTGTGATTATCACTGAAACATCTCACTGGAACACAATCAGTGAGGTTGTCATCATTCTGGGAAACAAGGCCATAAGGTGTCAGGAAAATCAAAATGTGAGCTGGTCTGAAATTTTAATGACACTCAGATTATGTAAAGTAATTTATTTAGCTTGTGTGGTTTGCCTGCCACATGTTTTAAGGATACCCATATGCATGACATATGTGCTGTACTCTAAAGAAATCTGCAGCCTAGTAGTGGTAACAGAATGGAGCTCTGTTTTAGTAAAATGAGGAAGTAATATAAAACACTACAGATGTGAAATAGGTCATAGGTGAGCATGTCTCCTGCTGCTGAAATTTTAACATTCTTAAAGAACAAAAGGAAAATGAGTTATTTTTTAAGAAAAGCCTTAAAGTTAGCAAGACAGAATTAATAACATTTTCCAAAACTGTAACTACCAATGAATGAATAGAGAAGGAGAGATATTATCTGGTGTATTTATTGTACAGTCAATTTAGTATTATAAATTAGGATTAAGTAAGAAGATATATGGAGAGGCAAAAGAGAGAACGGTTTTCATTTTGGCCTTCACTGGCCACTCTTTTCCTTGCCATAACATACGGAAAAAATATTTCTTCTCACAGAAGAGTATCAACCCCAAATCCTGGGTCACAGTAAGGGCAGTGAGGATGAGGCATGAAAAAGGAAAATGTAGACCAAGAAATGGATGAGACTGGAGTCTTGTACTAGTCAGCTTTGCATCACTGTAGCAATGCCTGAGGTAAGTAAACTTTTAAAGAGGAAAGGTTTACTTTGCTTCATAGTTTCAGAGATTTCAGTCCCTGATCAGTTAGCCCATGGCTTTTGGTCCTGTTGAGAGGCAGTGCTTCATGGCAGGAGTGTGTCATAGAGGAGACCTGCCTACGTCATGGCAGCTGGAAGAAGAAACAAGAGGCTAGGGTCTCAATGTTGCCCTCAGTGGCACACCTCAGTGATGTAACTCCCTTCTACTAGGTCCCACTTCTTAAAGGTTCTACTACTGCCCAAGAGTGCCATACCCTGGTGGCCGTGCCTTTAACACATAGGCCTTCAGGAATCTAATCTATACCATACCAGGTTCCTAGGGCAAACTAATTTCTCAGAGAAGAAATCAGGTTAAGTGTAAAGGTTCATGGTAAAATAAAGGAAGTTTAGAAAAAACAAAAGAAAACAGAAGCACAGAAACAAAAAAGGAGGGAGTAGGGGAAAGAAAATGGTTCTTCCCAACCCACCACCACTAGTAAGATTTCTCCTCTTGAAAAACAAAGTCAGGCCGGGGATTTAGCTCAGTGGTACTGCCGCCTGCCTTGCAAGCACAAGGACCTGAGTTCATTCGCCAGTACCAAAAAACCCCCAACAAAGTGAAAAACAAAGTCAATGTGACAGCATTGCTTTATTTCCCCATGGAGTAAGCAAATGTCTTATAATAGATAAGGCTTACTATGGGCTGGGGATTTCACTCAGTGGTACCGCCTGCCCAACTGCAAGGTCCTCAGTTCAATCTCTGCTACCAAAGAAAACAAACAGACAGACAAAATTAGGCTCACAGATAAATGCTGGAATAGCATTTAAACATAGTTTAAACTGTTAAACTGAAAAGGTAAAGGAAGTAGCAAAAATGTTTCAAAGGATGTTCTCTGTTCTTGCTGACATATTTGTGTTCTGTGTGAAGGAACGAGAGCATGAGAAGTAAGTAGGATTAGGCCACAGGTCCTCTGTCCTCCAGGAGCCTGGTTGCTGGTCAGTACTTTAGTAAAAGTTCCTGCCTTTTCTATTTCCTCTGCTGGTGGTTTTGTTCAGTGACTCTCTGCAACACTTGTGCACCTTGGCAGCTCCTGGACTCCTGGCAGACCTGTGTTTCTGAAAGGTTGAAGCAACAGTTCAGATGCTGGTAGCAGTGTACTTGAAGACAGATGAATTCACCAGTAATCTCTCTCTTTCTCAGAAACATGATTCCAGTGACAGAATTCCGACAATTCTCTGAGCAGCAGCCTGCATTCCGCGTGCTGAAGCCATGGTGGGATGTGTTTACGGATTACCTCTCTGTGGCCATGCTGATGATTGGTGTGTTCGGATGCACTTTACAGGTTGGTGCCTGGAACCACAGTAAAATGGGGACAGAGCAAGATGCCACACAGTGAAACTTCTTAAAGAGCCCACTGAGTGACTTTTAACAGTGTAAATATTAGTTGCTGAACTCTTTTTGTATATGTCATTTGTAATCATGGCAAGGAGCCTGAAACATTTGCTGAAGTCTCCTAATGAGGTAAATATAGTACTTATAAGGTTTCAATGAGCCCTACTACGGTTGACTAATGTCAAGTGATGACTCCCATCAAGGGGGGTCCCTAACCTTTCAAAGTTGGCTTTATAGTGAAATATAAATGTATATCTAAAATGCCCTTAATAATTTCAAAATGGAACCCTTACTTTTCTTCACATCTTACACTTAGGCCTGGTAAGGTTTTCTGGAAGAATCAATACTTTGGTAACATATCGTTACTTTACTCAGTGTTTAATTTTGAATTAAAGTGTAACCCAATCAAAATGTATTCTGTATAGATGCTATATATTTACATGTTGAAACCTATAGAATCCACCCCAAAAAATCCATCCCAATATATCAGGAAAAGAAAAACATATATAAATATTTTAATACTAAATTTGTTGAGACATCATGATATTAACAAAGTCACCTTTGGCCTGGGCAATTACAAGAGGTGTTCAAAGTGGTGATGGTAGCTTCCAGACAGTTATTAGTATGGCAAACTGCATAGTTTTTTGTTTTTTTTTTTTTGGCAGACACTGTATATGCTGTGTATTCACATACTGAGAACCATATAAATTCTGTGTATTTGTATATGAATCTAGATAGTGTATTTTTCACATTGCTATGTCTGACACCATCCTTTCAGGACAGAGACAGCAGAAAGTAGTTTGAGTCTAAGGGAGAACTAAATGCAGTAGCAATCAGAAGTTAGGTTACACTGTAATACAGGCTGCTACACAGTAGGAAGGGTACTTGGCTGAACTTGGGATCTAGTTTTACATTAAAACTTGGAGAACCAGCTGAATCCAGTCAGGGAATAGGAGCTGGGTGGGAAAGGGGACCAGAAGAGGAGAAAGAGAATACTTCAAGTTACAGTGAGAAGGAATACAGCATTTTTGGGAAACTCTCAGTAGGACAGTTTGTACTTTTTTGAAGAGTCTCAGCTGTAGGATGTAGGTTACAGATGAGACTGCAGAGACACAAAACGGTTAAGAAAACCTCCCAAGGCAGTAGCAAGCCTTTATTCACACCCAGCAATTTTGATTCAAAGTCCTTCTTAATCCCTAACACTATACACTATTGTCTTTTATTTAATTTAAGACATTTTATCCCCTTTCTACGACCCAAGAAACAGTGCCAGTGAGAAGCTAGAATCTAAAAGACAGAAAAAGCCAATGTTCATCCATAAGTAAAACATAACTTGTTGAAGAACCTACTGTGTGCCAGGCACTATTCTACCAAGAATGAAGGGGGAAAAAAGGATAAAATCTCAGCCTTATAGAGTTTTAAATCCATGAGGAAAGAGGGAATACATTAAGCAAAATCAATTACAGATATTCCTTGTTGAACAACCTACCTGCCTAATGACTGTTTGGACTTGTGATGGAGGTGTGCTCTTCAGACTTAAGATCCCTGCATTCAGACTTAAGATTCAAGAACCTGAGCGACAGGTGGCTCCTTCTACTTCTGTACTATAATGTACATACCTTATACACTTCCTCATTTAGCAACCAATTCACTTACTGACCTGTTCGCAGGAATGGAATGTGGTCATTAAATGAGAACCATCTGAGTAAATTCCATACAAGAATTCCCTGGGAATATGTTCTAAGATGCTCAGTGGGTGCCTGAAACTGGAACTGAACTGAATATACGTTTTTCTCTTACTTGTTCTTACCATGACTGTAACCAATCTCAGCATATAACTATTTCCTTTTCTTATGCGGTCAAGAGCTTCCACTTTTTCACTCAAGGGAAACACTTTAAATAAATGGCCATTATCACTACCCTTGTGCTATTGTCAAAATAAAGGTTATTAGAACATAAGCACTGAGACACAGTGACAGTCAGTCTGATAACCAGTGACATCACACTACTTGGAATGGCATGCAATATAAAATTTATAAAATGTTTCTTTCTATAGTTTTTCCATTTAGTATTTTTAGGCCACAGTTGACTATGGGTAATTGAAACCATAGAAAGAGAAATCATGAATAAAAGGGAACTACTGTAATATGTTAGAATGTGATAGGAGCACTAGGAAAAAAAAAAGGAAAAGCATGCAAGGATGGTAGGAGGTCTCAGCAGGAGCATTAAATATCGTAACTTTTGGCCAAAGAATTGAAGGAGACACAGGAGTAGACCATGCAGCTGCTCTGGAAGGAGCCTTCCAGGCAGCAAGAGCTGCAAAAGCAAGGGACACAGAGACAGAGATAATGGTGCCCTTCAACTTCTGCAGCATTTTCTTTTCTCTACAGAATTTCAGCTGTTTCCCTGGAGATCTGAAAAAGATAGAATGTTAATTGTGTTACTAGGCAACACTGATCATGGTATCAGTGACTGCTCCTTGGTCAGCTGTAGCTGGGCTGGGAGGGAGTTAAATGCCTGGCAGGAAACCATATCATTGGGTTTCTGTTTGTGTGACACTTGCAACTAGGCATGTGGCTTGACATATAAAAGATGTATCTATTAGTGATTATATTGGCTCCTTTAGGACATAAGGCATAAGTCGTAGTAGGTCCTGGGTCTGCATCTTTTCTTGCATTTGAGATGCTAGGGAGAGGATATGTTCAGGAAGGGACTAGCTCTGGGCAGCAGCGTAGACTACAACACAGATTTTCACAAAGGGGAAAACCTGATGCTGCCTTGCTGGCAAGGTGTGACTCCAGTCCAATCTCTAAATGATTCTGGTGTCATGTGGGATTTGTGATACTCTTAATCTGAATGTTGAGGTGACCCTAGAATGACCCCTGATGCTGTTCTAGGCCTTGAGAAGGGGTCTCCCTGATTGATACAGTTTGAAGCCAGGGGTCCAGTGTGCTGCCGCAGTATGAATGAGGAAGAGAATAGTTAAAGATATAGCCCATGAGACAATGGGTTCCAGTTCACAAAGAACCTTGTCATCCACTAAAAAGATAGCTTTGGGCTAGGGAATTAGCTCAGTAGTGCCATCGCCTGCCTTGCAAGCACAAGGACTTGAGTTCAATCCCCGGTACCAAAAAATAAAAATAAAAATTTTTTAAAAGGTGGCTTTATGCTCAGTGAGACAGGACACATTTGGATGATTTTGAGCCAAAAGTTGTCATGATCTTAAGTTTTAACAAGGTCACTCCAGCTGTTGAGAATATAGTGTAGAGGGTTAGGAAGGAAACTGGTTATTTGGAAGGCTATTGCTATAAACCAGGCAGGAGATGAAACAGCTTGAATTAGGTAAAAAACACTAGTTCTAGACATATGTTGAAGGAAAAAAACACCAAGATTTGCTGTGAAATATGAGAGAAAAAGGTATCAAAGATGAACCAAAGTTTGGTTTTTGGGCCTAAGCAACTGGAAAAAGGTTGGGTGTTTTAATTTTGATGCTGGGAATTGAACTCAGGACCTTGTGCTCGCCAGGCAGGTGTGGCACCACTCAGCTACATCCCTGGCCTGGAAAAGGTTGTTTCTGAGCCTATTGTTTTTGAGATAGGTGTTAACTAAACCAGGGATTCAGAGTTAGTGATGAATGCTTATCTTTGAGACCAGGACCCAGGTAGAAGCATCATCCTCGATTGACAACGTCTTCTATGAGAATGAGAATAATGGGTACAGGTGCATTTTATTTGGAAGCGGACAGAAAGATGGTAGTTTATGCCTTACTGTTTCTAGTTTCTCTGTAATATAGAAAGTAACGCATCTGCTGAGAGATTGTGAAGGTAGAAGGTAGCAGGAAATGGCAGCAAGGAAGTTACTATAGTAGAGCCCTCAAGGTAAAGGCAAAGATTTGGAGTGGCCAGTTTGGGAAATAAAAGGAGGTGACACAGTAGGAGGGCTCTAAATCTGACATTATGACTGCCAAGGCTCTCAGCACTGCTTCAGAGTTGACTAACTCAAAAAAGAGATGGTTTTTCTTGTTTACATATTCCAAGGCAGGATGAAGTACAGAAAAAAGAAAGGCACAGCCAGTAAAATCTAGTAGTTAAGTTAGCTGGATATGTGTTCTACAGTGCTGGGATTAGAGTGTTCAAGCCCAGCTTGGGCAATTTAGCAAGACCTTGTCTCAAAATAAAAAATTTAAGAAGGACTGAAGATGTGTCCCAGTACAAAGCCCCTAGGTTCAGTGCTTAGCACCAACCCTCCAGAATCCCCAAGCACCAACAGTTATCAGGCATCAGACACTGTGTGGGGTGCTAGGTACTGAATGGGAAACAGCACAGCCTGAGCCCGTGGAACTGATGCCTTCCAAAGTGTAAGATCCTCAGTGGTTCCTTGAGAGCACTGGCTACTGTATTGTCATCTCAGCCACCGCTGGGACTTCAAGAGGAGAAAATTGAGCAAAGTCTCAGAGAGTGGCTATACAAAAACAAAATATATGTATTTTTAAAAGGGGAGAGGGAAAAAATAAGCATAAACAGAATATTTAGCGTAATTGTTTCACAAATTTCTCATTGATCACCATAGCAGCAGAGGATCCAGGTGACATTTTAGGGAAAGGAGTCAAGAAAGTTAAGCTCCTGCCATGCGTGAAATATTCCCACTGTGGAGCTGTCCTATTGAGAATACCAATAGCACATCCACTGAGTAATGCACAAAAGAACCGGTGCCAGAACCTGTATATATCTTTAGTTTCCAAAGCAAACCCATGGAAGTAGATACTTTTCAGAGAAGGATTCAGCCATATGGAAGTTTGGGTGACTTGTCCCAAAGCCAAGAGGGATGTCAGGCTTATTCTCTAACCTGGCCTTCAACTCCTGTGCACACTACTGAGATGTTGTGGAACCATTTCAGTTGCACAGGTTGTGTGGTCAAAGTTTGGTTTGTAAAAATAAGTGCAAAATGAGG